ACTGCCCTCCCCTGCAGGCCTGGTCACCCCCAACTGCCCTCCCCTGCAGGCCTGGTCACCCCCAACTGCCCTCCCCTGCTGGCCTGGTCACCCCCAACTGCCCTCCCCTGCAGGCCTGGTCACCCCCAACTGCCCTCCCCTGCTGGCCTGGTCACCCCAACTGCCCTCCCCTGCTGGCCTGGTCACCCCAACTGCCCTCCCCTGCTGGCCTGGTCACCCCAACTGCCCTCCCCTGCTGGCCTGGTCACCCCCAACTGCCCTCCCCTGCTGGCCTGGTCACCCCAACTGCCCTCCCCTGCTGGCCTGGTCACCCCAACTGCCCTCCCCTGCAGGCCTGGTCACCCCCAACTGCCCTCCCCTGCTGGCCTGGTCACCCCAACTGCCCTCCCCTGCAGGCCTGGTCACCCCAACTGCCCTCCCCTGCAGGCCTGGTCACCCCAACTGCCCTCCCCTGCTGGCCGTCTTGTGGCGGCCATCTTGTGACAGCGGCGTGCGAGGGCATTGTGCTACGCCACCTAGGCTTTTATTATATAGGAGATACATATATTTTTTATTTTTTATTTTTTAAAGACTCCAGATTCCCCTCCATGGAGGCCAGGCCCTGAGCCAGGGCAGCTCCCCCTGGCTTGTACGGGGCAGGGATCCAGATGGAAGTGCCCATGTCAGTGCCAGGGTGGGCGTCATAATGGCCATCGTGTGGCTGAGTGGATTCAGAGCCCAATTCCCGTCCGAACTGACCAGCTAACATGGTATTTCCAGCCCCACGCTCATCTGTTCCACAAACTGTCCAAAGGTGGCACCGGGTGAGGCTTCTAAGGAGCTTCTGAAGCCCCAGGCGCAAAGGGCCGGGACCTAAGTGCGTCTGAGTGAGTGAGTGCAGGGCTTTACACCGCAGACGGCGTTTCACCCGCGGCTGTTCGCACTTAGAGCGCCGGCTCTCCTTCGAGGGCCCCCAGAGAGCTTCCCGAAGGTGGGAAGGAGGTGGCGTATCCTCGTCTCACTTGGGTATTTCGGGGATCACAATTTATTTCACATGCTATCCATTATCTTAAGAAGTCTTCTCATTGGAGGAAAACTAGTATGTCTATCTTATGTGAACTTTGGAGAACACGACAAGCAGAGAGAGAGATCAAGTTCATCCTATAAACAAGGGGTAATCAGAGGTATAATGCTTATCTTACTGTTGGGAGTGGAATAAATTAAAATTAATATTTGAATTCTTCCCAGATTAAATGAGTATGCCGTCGTTTGCCCAAAATGAACAATGCATCGAGCACATTTTCAGGTTTATCTTATCATCTTTAATGAACTGTGTGTGACATTTTACAAATCTTCAGGTGGTTCCAGTTTTCAGCAGTGAATACAGTAGTAACGGCCGTAAGTATACACTGGGATGGGGCCTCCTCTGACGAAAGAATACAAAAGCTAAAAACACCTGGAATCAGAGGGCGAGCTGTCAGCGCTCAGTCTGCGATGGACACTCACAGAGTCAGATTCTCTACAAAGACAGCAAGTGCACGGGCCAGTGTGTGACTCATCCCCCCAAAAGGCAGACGTGACTCTGAGCGTCACCCTCGGGGGGGTCTTGAGGGGTATTGGTTGCCCACAGGTCCCTAAAACAGTCAGAGGCGTCGATCCCAGAGGACTCAGACCCGGGAAGGGATCTGAAGATGACTGCCAGGGCGGAGAAGTGCTCCGACTCCTCAACACGTGTGCCCCGCGCGGTGTGCTGTGAATTACAAAAGGGGTGATCCCGACACAACTGCCTACACGTCGGAAAAATGGGCTTTATAAAGTCTCAGGGCCCTACTGTGCGTTCAAAAATACACGCCGCTGTGCTTTCGTACACGAACCCATCGGGGAATCGAGGGAGACGTTCGCTTTTCAGGTATGTGCAAAGTATGTACAAAGGATCCACAAATGCGAACCACTTGTGACCAAAATTCTCTAGGTTTACATTTGCAAAAGCCTGGGTTGGTTCCATCCAGCATCGTAAGAAAGTGGTACGCGGTGGAGGCTTCTCATCACGGGGGTAAGGAGAAGTCGATGGCTTGTCTTCTGAACAGGAAATGCGTGAACCGCTCGCCAAGGGGAAGGTGCACATGGTTAGCCGTGAGGAAGGGTAAAGGCCGGTGCTTTCCAGGGGAGGACAGAATGTGCGGCGTATAAAACAATTGGGTTTTATTCTGAAACCAAAACAATGCATTTCTGGAAAAGCCCTTGGGGACACCTCTTCTCGTTCCCTTTACACGAGGGTGAGTGAGTGCACATCTGAAAGGTACGCCCTTCCAGCCACGGGTATCCCCTCGCTGAGCCAGGAGAGGAGACACCTCTACTTAGACGTGGGAGAGACATACGTTTAAGATATTGATGAAGTAAAACTTTGCACTCGATGGTTTCCCACTCCAAGATAAACGACTGGTATGAACTGCATTCAAACAAGAATCCACAAAAGAAAGAGAAACGCAAGTGCATGCCGATTGCATCATCCCCACGTGAAGGAACAGGTCCCTGTTCTTAGTGAAAACTGCACATCTGCTGGGGCTGGGGCTGGGGCTGGGCTGGCCGAGACAGCGAGGTGCATCTTGAGGGAAAATGGGGTCCCTCTGACACAGCACGTCTCCTCAAGGCACTTCCACAGCCCGAGTCCTGGCCATGCCCCCAGTTCCTCGGTGCGGCTCCTACCGTGTCTCCCATTGTAAGACCCGTGAGAAGCCTCCTCTGATGGGGGCCTCTTCACTACCCCACACACAACTCAGTGTCAGCCTGGGATCCCCAAACACTTCTCCCCAGGGGCTGGGAGACAGGGCCACTGTGCCCCTGGGCTAGCGCAGATGTGGCCGGCTGGATGCCTCAGCAGGGGGTACAGGGGGGCAGCTAGAGCCTCAGCAGGGAGTACGAGGGGCAGCTAGAGCCGCAGCAGGGGGTACGGGGGGCAGCTAGGGCCTCAGCAGGGGGTACGGGGGCAGCTAGAGCCTCAGCAGGGGGTACGAGGGGCAGCTAAGGCCTCAGCAGGGGGTACGAGGGGCAGCTAGGGCCTCAGCAGGGGGTACCGGCACTGGCTGAAGTCCCCTCTGGAAAGTGATACCTTTCATGGCGTGTCCACGGATCCTCTAAGCTGAGGTGGCTCCTGTTGGCTCTTTCGATCCATGTGCCTTGGGTCTCCCTGTTGCTCTCATGTTGGTCAGCAGGATGAGAAATGGAGCCATTTCCCCCATTTTCCCACCAAGGAAAAGGGGCATCTGCTTCAGGCGCTGGTCTTCGAGGGAATTTTAAGGAAAATGGGGCGTGCGGATTTTAATTAAGAAGGGATTTATTTGGGATCTAGGACTGGGAACTTGGAGCAGAAAGCATCATAAACAGCTGCATGTGTTCACGCGGAATGCTTCGCTGTGATGAAATGACGTGGACAGGGACATATTACCTCTGAAACTGGGGGTGCGGATGGGGGTGCTGCTAAGGCTCCAAGCGTTTTATGAAAAAACTTACTTTTCCCATTAAATTGGAACTGATTTTTTCAAACATCTCTTATGAATATTAACAGAAAAAAAATCTATACACCCACCTAATATCCCAAAGGTATTTTTGAGTCTCAGGGAAATGACATTTCTTTTTTAGCTCATCGACATTTAAGAAAAAAGTTGCAATGCTATTTCCTTTAGTTCCACACACTCTGTTAATGTTTTAATGTTCATAAGGAACATTTTTGATTTATTGATCTTTTAAAAAAATCAAGTTTAATAGCATTTTAGTGACAGAATTTTTGTTAATAAAAGACGTATCTTAGAATTGATTTTCGCTTCCATGTATCAGAGTTGAAACTAAAGGTGCGCTTGGTGAGTCTCTCTCTCTCTCTCTCTCTCTCTCTCTCTCTCTCTCTCTCTCTCTCTAGATTGGTGTAAAGTTTTCCTGGACACCTAAGCCCATTTCACTTTTGAGAGAAGGAAAAAGAAATTTTAAAATAAAAATTTAGTATCAGAGCATCCGTTTCTCAGATTTCTAAATAACAAGTATCACCTTACCGTCTGTTCTGGAGCTGCCCTCTCTAGCAACCAAGTGGCTTCTTGCCCATCTTATGTGAATATGGGGTTCCCTTGGGGTCGATACAATCCACATGCTGTCTGCAGCAGCAACAACGAAAGGTCGAGTGGCCTTCAGACTCTGGAAAGACAGCAGCCCAGAACCGGTCCAGTGCGTTCCAGGGCAGGCGGTGGGAGCAGAGCGGCCATATGTCACCTGAAGAGCGGTTTCATCCCCACAGCTTCACGGGGTGTCCTCAGCGCGGAGCAACCCTTTCGCATGGAGGCAGCTTTGGGGTGCACATCCCACAGGGGTCTTAAGGGAGTCGGGGAGAGGGGGCTGCCGGGGCCACACTCCCAGACTACGAACTCCGGGAGCTGTTCTCTGTTGTGAGCACCTGGGTGCGGACGGTGGGCCAGAAGCCGTCCTGGGCGCCTCCCTCCCTCACGGAGCTCCCATTTCACTGCTCACAGGGCCCCGGCCGGGTCAGTCCACTCCTCGGGCTCATATTGGACCGGCGCCCGGCTCAGGGCTGAGCGTGGGCCTAGGAACCAGGAGGGCCGGGTTGGATCCCCATCAGGCCACAGGCCGGGGTGTGGCTCCAGCCCCAGTGGGGGGCGTGCAGGAGGCAGCTGGTCCACGATGCTCTCTCCCTCTCCCTTCCGCTCTGAAATCAATAAAAAATACATTAGCCCTGGCCGGTGTGGCTCAGTGAATAGAGCGTCAGCCTGTGGACCGAAAGGTCCGGGTTCAATTCCGGCGAAGGGCACAGGCCCGGGTTGCGGCTCCATCCCCAGGGGGGGTGCGGGGGCGCAGGAGGCAGCCGGTCCACGATGCTCTCTCATCATGGATGTTTCTCTCTCTCTCTCCCTCTGAAATCGATAAAAACATATTTAAAAAGAAGAAGTTCCTCCTGCAATTTACACCGACACGCGCATGAACAGCAGGGAGGGGGGCCCTCCAGCGGGGCGGGGGGGGGGGGCTAGTTGGTGGGGAGCAGGGGGCGCCCCTCCCGCTTCCTCCAGATGCTCGCCTTGCTGTCCCTCTTGGGGAGCGGCGGGCGCCCCCTCTTCCTGGCGGGGGAGGTGCCGGCTGCCGCCTCGTCTCCGTCCCCGGCGCCCCGGCTCCCGGGGGCCTCCTCCTCCCCGGGGCGCTCGGGGAGGGGCCCCCCTCCGTCCGGCGCGGGGTCCTCGGGGGAGCAGCCGGCCGTGCCGCTCTCGCTGCCGCTCAGGTCCGCGTCCTCCAGGTCGAGCGCGCGGGGGGCGGCGCCGCGCAGGAAGGTCCGCTCGCGCTCCAGCCGCCGGCCCGGGCCCGCGTGGGGCTCCTGCATGTCCACGCCCGAGTCCAGGCTGGCGTCGTGGCTGTGGCTGTGGCCGCGGCGGCCGCGCTGCAGGTCGATGAACGAGTGGCGCACCGGGGCCACCGGCTGCCCGTCCAGCGACACGAACCAGGCGCGCGGGTGCGGGCAGGGCGGCGGCGGGGACAGCGCCCGCCGCGCGCGCTCCGACAGCCCCTGCAGCTCCTCGTTGAGCGCGCCCGGCACCGACACCGACTCCAGGAGGCTGCTGGGGTAGCGGCCCCACGCGGGGCCCGGCGGCGCGCCCTCCTCCCGGGCCGGCGGGGCGGGGGCGAGCCCCGGCGCCGGGGGCAGCGTCTGCGCCGAGGGCTCCCCGGGGCCCGGCGCCCGCAGCGGCCCGTAGAGCAGCGGCCCCTTGCGCGGCAGCGTGGCCGGCCGGGCCGCCGCGAGCTGGAGCTGCTCGGGGGCGAAGAGGTCGGCGCCCTGCAGGACGGCGAGGGGCGGGCCGTACAGGTGCAGCAGCTGCTCGGGGAGCGGGGCGCGCGCGTACCCCTCCGGGTGGCCCGCCAGGTGCCGCGTCTCCTCCTCGGCGTCCCCCCGGGGGGCCAGGCTGCCCGGGGCGCGTGCCAGCGGCCGGGGCTCCGAGGCCGGCGCGGGGGTCCTCTGATGGGCGGGCAGGAAGGCCGCGTCCTCCCCGTAGAGCTGGAAGTGCTCCCGCGTCTTCACCAGGGCCACGCGCTCCTCCGCCTCGGGCCTGGCCAGGCCGGGCCTCTGTGGGCTGCGGGAGGGGCTCCCCCTGTCCTCGGCTCTCAGGGCGGCCTTGGCAGCGCCGATGTGCTGGATGTGCGTGGTGGACGTGGTCTGGTCTCTCCTGAGGGCCTCCAGCTTGGTGACCGTCCTGTCCCTCTTCTGGGGAGGACCGCACCTGTCCCTGCAGGGGCGGGGGGGAGAGGGGGCACAGTGTTCACAGCTCACAAGCTGGAAGGCCCTTCGGCAGCCAGCCCACCACAGGGCACCCCGTGGGCGATGCTGGGGGACGCTCCCCTCCTGGTTCACCCCTGTCGTAAAGAGCCCACCCAGTCCCAGACTGCACTTGGTAGCCTGCAGCTCAGGCCGGCCCACCCTGTGAGGGAGGGTGGGGTGCACGCGATCGCCCGCGCACCTGCAGTAGCACAGCAGCACCGCGAAGAAGCCGAGGACGATGACGACCGTGCCCCCCAGGATGGCCGTCAGGAACACCGTGTGGTAGGCGGCGATGTCCGCGGAGTCTCCGCCGCCGGGGCCTGAGCGGTTCCGTAGAAACAAGCAAATGACACGAGAAGGAAGTGCAGGCCTTATTATTACTGTGTCACCCTCCCCTGGGGCTGTTTTCTCATTGACTTTCAGAGAGAATTCTACTTAAGATTCACATGAAAACAGATTTCTGTATCGACCACGTTCCGCTCAGCAGCTCCAGCAGGTACCCAGCCCGTCACCGGCCATCCTGGACTGGACAGCAACACAGCTCCTAACAGTGTTGGGAGAGAAGGGGTCACCACATCCAACCCCCGCTGTTTAGAAACCTGCAAACTAAGACTCAGGGGGGTCAGTGCCTGTTTCAGACCCCTGGTCAGCGCCTGTTTCAGACCCCTGGTCAGCGCCTGTTTCAGACCCCTGGTCAGTGCCGGCAAAGGCAGCGACACTCAGGCTGCCCCGAGTGTCTGGCAGAGCACAGCGTCCCCCCCACCCCACCCGCCAGAGATCCGCCTGCAGCGGGAGCAGCAGCAGAAGGGATGGAGGTCAGTCTCGGCAGGACCCTCCCTCTCCTTCAGCACCTGATCCACAGTCTTTCCAAGACAAAAGCTCAGACCAAACTCTAACCTAGTTCAGAAAGGTATCCAGCTTTTACAACTCGTGAGGTCACCGTGTAAGCGGGTCGTTGCAGGGGGATGTTTGGGGGAAGGTACACTTCTCTCTCAGTAACAGAGTAAACGGGTGAACCAAGCGGACCCAGAGACATGGAAGCATGGAACAGAGGGCGGGATCTCGGAGGGAAGGCGGGAGGGTGGTGGTGGGAGGTGATTGACCAAAGACCTCGTGTGCATATATGCATGGGCCATGGCCACAGACAGTGGGGTGCTGAAGGCCTGGGGCGGGGGGCGGGGCGGGCTAGAAGGGGTCAATGGTAGAAAAAAGGGGGCATATGTAATACTTTCAACAATAAAGAATTATTTAAAATATAAATAAATAGCCCTGGCCGGTTTGGCTCAGTGGATAGAGCGTTGGCCTGTGGACTGAAGGGTCCCGGGTTCAGTTTGGGTCAAGGGCACATGCCTGGGTTGCAGACTTGATCCCCAGTAGGGGGTGTGCAGGAGGCAGCCGATCCATGAATCTCTCTCATCATTGATGTTTCTATCTCTCTCTCTCTCTCCTTTCCTCTCTAATATATATATATATATATTTAAAAAAGAATAATATAAAAATACAAAAAAAAAGAGGTATACCTCTTCCCTATAAAGCCCAAGTGCTCCTCAGGCGATCTTTGTTGGACATGAAATGGCATGGTGTTCGCTGAGCTGAAGGGTTACATTAAATATTAACTGTTCTTTCTCATCAATATTTCATTCTCGTTGCAAACCGGAAACGGGGTGAGGCTGGACAGCTGGCAAGGCCGTGTGGTATTTTGCATCGTGAGGACAAAGGCAACCCCCTCTGGTTTCTGAATGATAATGTCCTCAGCACTGAGGTCAGAACCCACACGGCGGGAACAGCCCGGGGACCAACAAGGTTCAGGGCTCACAGTTCTCCTACGCGAACACCAAATTCAGCTTCACTTGCCTGGTGTTATTAGCCGATGTCACCCCAATGAATTCAATTTTTAAAAATGTCTTGTTCCGTGCACAGTTTAAAATGCGAAGACTGTCAATAAAACAATGAACGTTAAAACCTTTTTTTTAATTTCAGAAAAACTGAGAGAGTCTTCACATGAACAGACGCCGTGATGAGTGCGAGGACAGGAGCCGCGGAGAAAGGTGTGTGAGCGTCACCACGTCCGGGTCGGCCTGTGCGCTGGGAGGGTCCTGCCGGCCTGGGACAGCCGCCTCCTGGCCCGGAGCCAGGCACTCCCAGGATTAACTCTCCGACCCACGACCCACGATTAGATGGAGGGATGGCCTGGGCACTCAGCTTTCACTCCCCCCAGACTTCCCGAAAGCGCACTGGAGGTTTTGCTTTGCTTTGTTTTTGGAGATTGCAAACCACAAGCTACAGGAGGAGGAGGTGGGAGACAGGAGCAGAGGCTGAAGGCCGGGAAGTTGTCTTGGCAACACTGGCTGCAGGGAAGGCTGGAGGCAACTCGATTTATGCCAGCCCCACCCCAAGGCCCAGGGGCAGCAGGCCTGGTGCAGCCCGGGCACCTGCAGCAAGCTAGAGGACGTCTCTTTATTTAAGAAGACTGAGCCCGGCCGGCTGGCTCAGTGGTTGAACATCGGCCTGTGAACCTGGAAGTCATGGTTCGATTCCGTGGTCAGGGCACAGGCCCGGGGTTGTGAGCTCGACCCCCAGTGTGGGGCCTGCAGGAGGCAGCCGGCCCATGATTCTCTCTCATCATTGATGTTTCTCTCTCTCTTTCCCTCCCCCTTCCTCTCTGAGATTAATAAAAATATTTTTTAAATAAATAAAACGTTTTTAAAAAGAAGACTTAATGGCTAAAATATGCAGTGCTTGAGTCTTTGGAGAGAGCTGCACAACTCACAGGTACCTGCCGGATTTCCTTAGGTGCACGTGGTGTCATTGGACGCCTTGTTACATCTAGAAACCTGAGAGGCCCCTTCCTCCCGGATCTGACAGAGCACGCCTCCTGGGCCGTCCTTGGGTCCCGTCCACCTCTGCCCGCCCACAGGCAGGCCCATCTTCCCCGGGTAGCACCTGCCTTACCGGGGGAGCAGCTGGGGACACGCTTATCCGCAGCCCTTCCTCCACCCAGGCCTGTGCTCAGGACCCAGGCCCGGGCCCCCCACCTTCTCCCTCCCTGGGAGGCCAGGAGCGTGTGAGGACAGGACGTCAGAGGGTGTCAGCCATCGCGCGGCAGAGCCAGTGACAGCGTCAGGTGGGCCTGGGCCGGGGCGGGGACCCTGCCTCCTGGCATCTGCTTCCTCGGCCTCCCCAGCACCCCGTGGACCCCCCTCGCCCTCACTGCGTCCCAATCACCCAGAGCCTGTCCCCCTCCTGGCAACCAGGTGCTCTCACTGGTCTGGGCGGAATTTATTCACAAAAAGTGAACTCAGAAAAGAGAGAGTGTCCTCTCGGCCTTCAGAAACCTGGTTGCACGAGGAAACCAACCCCGCACATACTGTGGGTCTGGCCCTGTCGCTGCAGGAGGAGGAACGGTGGCCCAGAAGGGCTGCCTGGCTGCCTGAAGCCATCCAGCAACACCGGGCACGACTCCCACCAGATGCCCTGGCCCCGATGTGGCTCTGGCACCGTAACTCTGCTCCTTGCTGACCTGCTGACTGGTTTTATCTTTTCTTTACTCCTAGACCAGCAGTCACCAACCTTTCGGACCTCGCAGACCACCATTGGCGACCGCTGTACTAGACGACAGGGAATGACTTTTTTTCCTGCCTTTATTCAACTCCCCTGTTTGTACCCACCGTTTTGAGCGCATATCTCCTTAGCAACTATTTAGCTGAGTTATCATATCAAGACAACAAGAACTCTCAGCTACTCGCTGAAGTGTATGAAAGAAAGCTGTAATTGCGAAGTTCATGTTTTATATGGAAACTAGAGGCCTGGTGCACGGTGGGGTCCCTCGGCCTGGCCTGCGGGGACTGAGCCAAAACCAGCTCTCTGACATCCCCCGAGGGGTCCCGGATTGCGAGAGGGCAGCTCTCGGATGATGCACCCCGGAATCAAGCTCTCTCCTCTCTGGTTCTGGGTGAGTCACCCGAGAACCGCAGCTGCCAAGTCACCACAGCTTGGCAGCTCCTGCGTTGAGCGTCTGCCCCCTGGTGGTCATTGTGCGTCATAGCTACTGGTCAGATGGTCGAACATTCAAACGGTCACTTAGGCTTTTATACATAAAGATGTTCTGTGATCTCTGATGGTGTTCCCTGAGAAAATTTAACTCCTGCTATATCTACATAAAGACCTGGCTCACTTAAAAAAAGAAAGAGAAAGAGGAGAGAGAGAGAGAGAGAGAGAGAAAGGGAAGACTTGATCCGAACAAACCCCATATTCACCTTAGAGCTCACGGAGCCTAACTTTTCTTATGAACACGGAGCAGACAGACCCAGAGCCCTGAAGCCGTGTGCTCGCTGCACCTCAGCGAGCGCGATGCTTATAACGAGGTCGGCCGCCATCAGTGCCAGCGTGGCTGCTTGGGGGTCGCGTTTTTTAATTAATTTTTGTTTCACTTTTACACACCTCTAGTTCCTGGAAGCGGAGCTGCTATCCAGTAGCCCAAATGCGGCGCGTCGTACGTCCAGATTAAATGATTATTGTAGTCCTTGACCACTCCCCGGCCGTGACTGATCCAAGTACCTGAAAGAAAGGAAAGTGGAGACGCCAAGCAGTTACAGTCGGTATCTGTCCCTTTAGAGCTGAAGGAGTTTGCCGATAGTCATGTAGAGAGTACCTTGCAGGACTTTTTCAAAAATTATGAAACCTGTAGCAATATGTTACCATGGGATAATATATACATCGTATGTCACATGGTACTATAGTACCTATGATAATAAGATATTAAATAAAATGATTTGAATGATTTGTTATGACTACACAAAATAAAATCATTATAAATAAGTACAGGATGTTTTAGGAAATCGTAACTCTCCAAATAATGTTCAAATTGTGCCTATTGAGCCCAACTGGTGTGGCTTGATGCTTGAGTGTTGACCCATGAACCAGGAGGTCACGGTTTGATTCCCAGTCAGGGCACATGTCTGTGTTGTGGGCTCCATCCCCAGTGTGGGGTGTGCAGGAGGCAGCCGATCGATGGTTCTCTCTCATCATCGATGTTTTATCTCTCTCTCCCTCTGCCTTCCTCTCTGAAGTCAATAAAAATATATTTAAATTGTGCCTATTGCGATTATCGTAAGGATGCGAGTAGTGAAATCCGACAGGTGGTTGGTTATCTGCCACCTGTTCTGGGATTCCCTTTAGGCAGGTAGAGTGTATGCAGTGTTTGCATATGTGAAAATCAATCAAAAATTCTTTCGCTGGAAGGTACAGTAGAGGCAAAGGCCTTTGCCAGGAGGAATAACCTGAAATTAGGACTCAATCAAGAAGATCTTCTTCAAAGTGATTTCAAACAACCTCCCACTCAACGTGTAGGAAACTGAGGCCCAAGTAAGGGATGTGCTTACAAACAACCCTGGTGAGTGGGCTGTTTCCATCATGAGGCCTTTTAAGTTACTTTACACTGAAATAGAGCAACCTCACTGGTCAGTTACACTTCAATAAAGCTGAAACAAAAGTGCAGAAACCTACTTCTAAGATCCAACATTCACAAGAAGAGCATCCAGAATGCCTCTCTCGTCACACACCTGTGTTCATGTCAAAGGTCCAGGCGGGGACGGGGTCCCCCGCCCGCACGCCCTGGGGGTGGAGAAGCGGGAGCGAAAGCTGCACGGAGCCGGCCACCTGGAGCTCCCGGCCGCCCGAGTACATCTTCACGCACACCGCGGCCAGGGGCGTCAGCTCGATGCTCTCAAAACCTGAAAAAGGCCGTTTACCAACGTCTACGTGAACACGGGTGCGGTGACCTGTCAGCAGCATTCACATGGCCCAAACACCCGGCTCCTCTCGTCCAGCAGGGCTGCCCACGACTGACCCTTCTCACCCATCCGATAAGGACGCACAGAAGGTGCAGAAAATTATAAAAAGGCATGTGCACACTGCTCTAAATTAGCGGTTCTCAACCTGTGGGTCAAGAAAGGGCGGTGGAACGACCCTTTCACAGGGGTCGCCTAAGACCACCCTGCATATCAGATATTTACATGACGGTTCATCACAGCAGCAACATGACAGTTATGAAGTAGCAACGACAATAATTTTATGGTCGGGTCACAACATGAGGAACTATATTTAAAGGGCCAGAAGGTTGAGAACCACTGCTCTAAATCAAATTTCCATTTTCAAATGTATTTTTTAATTTACAAGGTCACACAACAATCATTACTATCTTCGACACCTGTTTTGACCTCTTTGCGGTAAAATTTGGAGGAGGGTGTGCGGAAGGCTTTGTTAACCTTTCTCCCACTGCATAGGAGCGGATCGAGTGCTTGTAGCATCTAACCACGGGCTGTGTTTCCGAAGTGCCACCCACCCACCCCCCTCCCTGAGCCTCAGCGAGCATCCGACCTAAACCGCTGCGGCCGCCTTGATGGGAGGCTAGGGTACTGTCTCCTACAGACGGCTCTCCCGCGAGAAAGGAGACAGCACCTGATGTGTTAAGCGTGACTCCGGCCGTATACAGGAAACTGTCCATTTTCAGAAACTGCTGCAGGACGGTGAGGTAGCCGGTCACGTTGCCCAGCTGGTGGCTGTCCGGGAGCTGGATGAAGGCTTTTGAAAACTGGGCGCTTGGTTGAGATTTGGCATCTGGAAGGAAAAACAACCTGATCCGTTTAGATTTCCCACCTTAGGGCCCACAGTGACTCGTCCCTGCAGACGTGCAGTTGTCAGAGTAACCACCTCAACCGTGGACTTGTTAGCCGAGGAGAAAGCGTTACACTTACCGGCTAACTTTCCAGTAATTAAAACGGTGTCTTCAAACAGCCATATATTTGCTTGGCTTTGCGGGAACAGTGAAAGCGTCACTGATGAATATACTGTGAAATACAGCACAATGGAGAGACGTTACTAAGCCGGGGGGGGGGGGGAGGGGGGGCAGGGGAGGCAGACATGCATAGTTCTGCTCCAGCAAGACCCTAAAAAGTGGTAAAAAGCAAACTGTGAGCCAGGCCGGTGGGGTTGGGTTCCACCTATGAACCAGGAAGTCAGGGTTCGATTCCTGGTCAGGGCACAGGCCCGGGTGAGGCTCGATCCCCAGAATGGGGTTTGCAGGAGGCAGCTGGTCCATGACTCTGTCATCATGGATGTTTCCATCTCTCTCTCCCTCTCCCTTCCTCGCTGAGATCAGTAAAATATATTTGAGAGGAAAGGGAACAGGCACTCCTTTCTGACCCAGGCTATATGGTCCCGCAGACACTCCCTGTGCAGTTAGCAGAACCGAGGCCCCGGAGGGCGCGGCTGGGACGGGCACCCCGCCCCTCGCTTACTTGGCATCTGGCCGGGCCTCCAGGCCAGCGGGGCCAGCACGTAGCCGACCTTGTGCGCCAGGATGGTGAGGCCCAGGCCCAGCGCGAAGGGCACGCGGACCAGCACGGAGCCCTGGCTCCCGGTGGCGGCGGAATTCGTCTTCGTGTGGTTGACAAACACCTCGACCACCGCGCGGCTCAGGGGCTGGCGGCTGATGATGTCATTCACCTGGACCTTCAGCGTGAACACGGACCCTGGAGGGAAGCAGGAGCGCGGCCGTCAGGCCCGGAGCGCGTGTCTCGGCGTCCACACGCCTCCCGGGCCTGCGAGCGGCGGTGCGAGCTGCTGGCCAACTCAGGAGACAGGGGTGTGTGGATGGGTGCACAGGAGACGGGGGTGTGTGGATGGGTGCACAGGAGACGGGGGTGTGTGGATGGGTGCACAGGAGACGGGGGTGTGTGGATGGGTGCACAGGAGACGGGGGTGTGTGGATGGGTGCACAGGAGACGGGGGTGTGTGGATGGGTGCACAGGAGACGGGGGTGTGTGGATGGGTGCACAGGAGACGGGGTGTGGATGGTGCACAGAGACGGGGTGTGTGGATGGGTGCACAGGAGACGGGGGTGTGTGGATGGGTGCACAGGAGACAGAAGTGTGTGGATGGGTGCACAGGACGGGGTGGAAAACCTTCCGGCAGATTCAATTCTTCCTAAAACCCCACGCATTCGGGGCTCCAAGCCACCTCCACACCAGGTTACAGTGAGCCTGGGGGTCAGTCTAGTTCGAGGAACGTGCGGCTGTGACCCTCATTGCGAACCTAAATCCTATACAGTAACAGCAGCTTCAGGAGGGAGCGGGAGTGCCCATGCCCCGCCATGGCTGCCAGCTCCAACGGCAGGTGTAACGCCTGGAAAACTGAAAGGTTGGAGTATCTAGACACGATGTGCTCTCACCCAACGGTAGCTGCACAGGCCCACTTAGTGCGGAAAACGGATACGTGTGGAGGACAAGCCGCTGCTGCTCAATTCAAAACTGGTCCCCCGGCCGCCTGCCCCGGCCCCTAGACACCGGGGCTGGGCCACCGTCATGAAGCATCTCGTGGGGGCCTGAGAGATTTCTGTCAGGACTTCGCAATGTGAATAGAGACACACAGAGGCGAAGAGAAAATGGAAAAATCAAACACGACAAAAAAAACCCGGCCGGCGTGGCTCAATGGTGGAGCGTCAACCTATGAACCAGGAGGTCACAGTTCAATTCCTGGTCAGGGCACATGCCCAGATTGTGGATTTGATCCCCAGTGGGGGGGGGGGGGTGCAGGGGGGCAGGTGATCAATGATTCTCTCTCATCATTGATCTTTCTACCTCGCTCTCCCTCTCCCTTCCTCTCTGACATCAATAAAAATATATTTAATAATAATTTTTAAAAAGATACCCACACAGAGGCTCAGGTGGCTGGAGCTGAACCCTCTGAGAGACTCTAGGAGCCCCACCCACCGGTTCCCGCGTTCCTGGCCCCTCCCCTTCCACAAGCTGGAGGTGCAGCTGCTGAGCTGTGAGCCTTAGCATCGTCCCTCCCCGGATCCCTCTGTTCCTTGTCCTCAGCCTCAGACGCGGCTGCCGGCTTCCAAGGCAAGAACTGGAATGATGCCAGGCACAACCTGAACACAGGCTGTTCCCTGGGCTCTTCTGCTCGGAGGGCAAAGGCAGACGGACAGTGTCACCGACCAAAACTACGACGCCCATGAGATGAAGGGCACACAGCTCGCGGTGAGGGAATCGGGGTTCTTCTCGGTTAAAATGCGATGCTCCCGCCATTCCACTCCTCAGCATTGACCCGGAAAAGGAAAGCGCACGTCACACAGACTTGGGTATGGACATTACAGCAGCTCATCGTTAATAGCAAGAACGTACACAACGAAATGCCCAACAGACGGACAGACAAACTGCGGTGGGACCACACAGTGTCATGTGTTCGGCGATGAAAAGGCGCTTCCCATCGACACACAAACAGCAGGAACGACTCTCAGAGTGACTACGCTCAGGGAGGGAACACCGACTAAAGAGAGTCCATGTCGTATGGTTCCGTTTACAAGATTCTAGAAAATTCCAACTATTTTATAGGGACAATAATTAGGTCAGTGGTCGCTTCAGGAGGATGGAGGGATGGAGGAGGGGGACCAGGAAACTGGGGGTGATGAGCGTGTTCACCATCTTGATGGTGGTGAGAATGTGAAGAAGGTTTGTATGTCAAACTGCACCCATTAAATCTCAATGAAGCTGCCCTTTAAAAAACAATAAAAGGTAAAGTTTGAGGACAGGTCCGATGAGCCTCGGTCCGTGCCATGGCGCCTCCCGCAGCACATGCAGGCGGGAGCTCCAGCGGGAATTTGTATTCATCCACTTGCTGGGAAGGTTCACGTCACAAGTTCTCGGAGCCTCTGGGCTGTGGACACATCCAATGGGCCGTAAGCCGTCAGCTCACTCCGCGCCATAAAAACTCTGCCTGCCCATCTGCTCCGTCCCGTGAAGCGCGGCTGCCAACGTAAGGCGCTAAGCGCTGGCGGCGGAGGCTGGGTTGGAATATGGGTGGGTCTTTCTAAAACGTCTCCACTGCAGGATGGTGTTTCATTTTTTCACACGTGATGATAATATTCGTGTCACAAATGTGCTGAGACAACAAACGCCAACGTCAGAAAACGTGATCGGCAACGTCACACCGCAGCCACCCACTCGTCTTCCCCTCTGAGGGCCCCACGCCTGGGCCTCAGGTCACCTCACAGACCCAGGGCACACGCAGGCCTGAGCAGGAGCTCAAACTGGAAAAACCATTGATGTCCGTGTGATACACGCGTGTGCGCAGACACACACACACACACACACACACACACACCAGGGCCAGAGCTAGAAACTTCAGACGACAATTCGACAGTGAATCTGCCCAGCTTCACCCTGACACACACCCGCAGGCACCTCCCCGCCTGCTCTCCCGAAGGCCCCGCAGCTGAACCGCCCAGAGAAGAGGGAAGATCCCCGATGAGCAGGCGGATCCTCCACCTCCCAGTCCCAGCGTCCCACCACACATCCCCCGGGAGGGGCCTCGGGGTCTGGTTTCATCACTGTTTACCAGCTCACCACCTCCCGCCGGGCGCCCCAGAGCTGGGAAGGGGGTGCCCATTCACTGGCCCTCCATCCCTCACCCTCCTTCCTCCATCCCTCACCCTCCTTTCTCTGCCTGGGTTGTGTGGCCCCGGCACAAGCAGCAGCAAAAACAGCATTAAAATCAAAACATAAACAAAAAACTCAAAACCATTCCAGCACAAACAACTCGTCTTCCCCCAGTAAAGGGAACATGACAAAGAACCACCTGCCTGTTGGACTTCTGTGCATCAAGTTTGACCAGGGCACCCCCGCTGACTGCCAGAAACACCCACATCCACAACCGCCTCCAGGTCTCCCTCCCACAGAGCCACTCCCCCTCCAGGTCTCCCTCCCACAGAGCTGCTCCCCCTCCAGGTCTCCCTCCCACAGAGCCGCTCTCCCTCCCACAGAGCCGCTCCCCCTCCAGGTCTCCCTCCCTCAGAGCTTCTCCCCCTCCAGGTCTCCCTCCCTCAGAGCTACTCCCCCTCCAGGTCTCCCTCCCTCAGAGCTTCTCCCCCTCCAGGTCTCCCTCCCACAGAGCTACTCCCCCTCCAGGTCTCCCTCCCTCAGAGCTACTCCCCCTCCAGGTCTCCCTCCCACAGAGCCACTCCCCCTCCAGGTCTCCCTCCCACAGAGCCGCTCCCCCTCCAGGTCTCCCTCCCACAGAGCTTCTCCCCCTCCAGGTCTCCCTCCCTCAGAGCCACTCCCCCTCCAGGTCTCCCTCCCTCAGAGCCACTCCCCCTCCAGGTCTCCCTCCCTCAGAGCCACTCCCCCTCCAGGTCTCCCTCCCACAGAGCCACTCCCCCTCCAGGTCTCCCTCCCACAGAGCTACTCCCCCTCCAGGTCTCCCTCCCTCAGAGCCACTCCCCCTCCAGGTCTCCCTCCCACAGAGCCACTCCCCCTCCAGGTCTCCCTCCCTCAGAGCCACTCCCCCTCCAGGTCTCCCTCCCACAGAGCTACTCCCCCTCCAGGTCTCCCTCCCTCAGAGCTACTCCCCCTCCAGGTCTCCCTCCCACAGAGCTATTCCCCCTCCAGGTCTCCCTCCCTCAGAGCTACTCCCCCTCCAGGTCTCCCTCCCTCAGAGCTACTCCCCCTCCAGGTCTCCCTCCCACAGAGCTGCAGAGTCTGTGGTTAAAGACATGATTTTCAACCCGAGGGGTGCCTTCTCCCTGGCGATAGGCCCCTCTTCCCCACTGAGTTTCCAGCTTCCTAGGCAAGTAGCACTTTCTGTCACTTAATTATAATCATTACGGCGGACCCACCTAATCTTCCTCTCACTATGTCACCGTGTTTAAAAAGCGCCCGAGAGCAAATGATTCCAGCGGCAACCTTAGCAAACAGATCGCCTACATGGCGGGAGAAAGTAAAATAAAATGCACACCCACAAGCGCGGCCTCAGCTGCTGGGAGACACTGGGGGTTCAGCACGTAACGGGAGCTGCCAGGTCCCGAGAATCCCTAAGATTCAAAGGGTCACAGGACGGAGGGGTGCCAACGGAGTGCCCCTCCTGGAAGCGGAGAGTTCACCGAGACCCCGGACGTCCCCGATCCATTCTGACCAGCAGAGGAGGTCGGCCCCCCAGCTCTCGCCGTTCTCACCTCACCTGGGAGACACCCAGAATTTCCTTCAAAGACGCCAACGGGAATTCCAAAGGGTCCACAGGGATCAGTCGCCTCCTTCAGACCCTCGCAGGCCCTCGGGCTGTTTCCTCTTTTTCAGACAAATCTAAGCTAATTGTTATCACTCATCTAAATGGGCAGGAGGCAGGGAGTTAATGAGTCTGTTAATCTATCATCAATAATCAAAACTTCCCAGAGGGGGGGGAGAGGGTGCAGAGGGTCCTTGGGAAGCCATCAGCAACAACACCGCGTCCTGGCTGTGCAGTAAGATCCCGGCAGGTCGCCTGTGCGGAGGGTTAAAGGCACGGCCGTCTGTGCACCCAGAGACCCCGGGGCTGGCCCTGGTGAGGTGACACACGCAACCCCGCGTCCTGTCGCCCGGCACGGGGCCTCGTCTCCTCTGCAGCCACACTGCAGTGCCAACGGCGCCCTCGGAGAAAGCGGCTTCTTTCCCGATTTCTCTACAAAAACCAGCCCCCTCTCCCCCTGCGTTCCAAG